CCTGGCTGGAATGTGTGCATAAACTCTGATCATGCCTCTTGCTTGCCTGCATGGAGGATGGAGAGGGGTGTGTTTGTGTGTAGAAACTAACCAACTGTACAAATGTAAAGTTCACAGTCATTGCTCCACCCACTTTTCTCTCTTCCCTGCCCCTCCCCCCCCCTTATGCCCTCCAACATTCCTGGCCTGGAAATAGGGACATTCTATTCTACATCAGTATCACTGCTTGAACATTTCTTCCTGGTCAAGCACAAAAGTTATTAGAAGAAAACACACAAAGCTGCAGCATTTTAAGCCCAGAAATCTTTGAATTTATGTATTGCATTTAGAGAAACCTGGGGGAAAGGAATACCCCAAATCAATACATACTAGCAATTATACTGATGTAACAACAACAACAACAATTTTATTATTTATATGCCGTCCATTTGACTGGGTTGCCCCAGCCACTCTGGGTGGCTCCCAACAAAATATTAAAACACCAGTCATTAAAAACTTCCCTGGACAGGGAATAGACTGCCCCTATTTTCATCTCAGGGATGGTGGAGGGTGTGCACCTCTGACACACAGCTTCTGGAAGGCTTCCTGGAAGTAAATGTGCCCCTGCCTGCAAAAGATCCACCCACTCTAGTCGACAATGACTGACAGCAGCACCCTCAGACAGGGGTCTTTCTCACCCCTTTCTGGGGTTGCTTGGGATTGAACTTGGGATTTTAGCTGCTGTTGTTTTCGTTGTTCTTGTTGGCCCTTCACCAGCAGGACCCAGGGGGGTTACAACAATTTAAAATTCATAATTAAAAACAGATCAGATTAAAAAAAGATTTCAGTCACAGGAATAGGGTGGACTCTGAAAACACCTGAGGTCCTCCTCCGAGGGTGGTTTTCTTCTTTTTTTAAATACATTTTTATTAATTTTGACATACAAATTATAAAACATACCACACATATTATTACAAATACATTCTTTTTGGACTTCCATCGGAACCTCCGATGATCTTCCATCTTAATCACTTTTTATGCATTACTTAATTTTATATTGTCTTTACCTCTCTTAGCCTATCATCTCCCCTTCTCCAATTTTACAATATTTCTAACATTACTCCTCACAGAACTTCTTCCGAGGGTCTTCTTCTGGTCTCCTCACTGCAAGAAGCAAAGTTGCAGGGAAACAGGCAGAGGGCCTCCTCATGGGTGGCGCCCTCCCTGTGGAACATCTTCTCCTCAGATGCCAAGGAAATTAAGAACTACACAACTTTTAGAAGACATATGAAGGCAGCCCTGTATCAGGAAGCTTTTAATGCTTTATGTTTTGCTATGTTTTTATATATGCCGTGGATTATGCATTTCCTGTAGGAAGGCAATGTGTGGTTTCATGGCGTTTATGTACAAGGTGATGCATTTTCTTTTGATTAGCTTTCCCAATCCCCTCACATTTAGTGCAATGGCTTTTAAGCTAGCCATTTTGTATGTCTGTTTTATAAGATGATTCCTTTCCAACCTGTCTGCGCTGCCCTGTGTCCCTCACCTTATATTGTCTATCCAACCTAGTGCATTGTATTTCTGCTGATCTTAACACTCAAGTGAGTCTGTGGGGAAGAAGGTGGTATTTGGGGCCTAAGTCATGTCTATGAGCTGCGCTCCTGAGCTGCAGCCTCATGATTCGCACTCACTGCATTCACAAACAACGTGTTCCCTGGTGTTCAAGAGAAAGGAACCAGCCTCCACTGACCTGACCCAAGCTTTGTCTCCCAGTCTTCTGCAGAGCAAGGATCGCCCGGCGGATCGGATAACCCAAAGCTAAAACGGGCTCAATGAGGTCGCGCTCCTCTTGGCTGAGCGCCGAGAGCAGGTCAGCTGTTGAGTCAGGATGAGTTCTGTGGGAACCACAAAGCTGCTGCACTCCAGGAGGGGGTGGAAGGCAGGAATAAGGGCTCAGGGACTGGGGGGGGGGAGAGAGAGAGAATAAAAATAAACATAGATCATAACGCTGGTTAATTTACAGACATCATTCTGAGAAATTCTGTACTCTTCAAGGCTTTAAAAAGGGTTTTCCCCTGCCCCCTGGAAGATGTACTGGGTTTGTGGGTGCTCAAAAGCATGGCCTGGAGTCATTAAATTAAATTTAGCCAGACCACAGAAGATGCCCGGAAAATTCCCCTACTTGGAACAACCCCCCTTTGGGTTTTCTGACTTTAGACATCCTGTTTGAATCATCTGAAGTTTATTTCAAAATGCGAGTGACCCTTCCTTGGATGGGAACTATTATTATGTTTCCAAGGAGATGACAAAGGTTGATTTGACAACAATGGAGACTGGAAATGTGTTTACATTCGAAAGCAAAAAATTAAACCTGCATCTGAAATGGATGTGCTCGAAGTGCTTTGTCGAGACACTTCTGTCCAGTTTTTAAACTGGAGTCAAAACACTGGCGGGGTTGTTTCATGCTGGGACCAGTTCAAAGACTGGTGTTTCTTTCCAACACTTCTCCAGACATGGTAGCCTGAGTGGTGCTGAGGTTGAGCAGCTCTACCACCAGGACTGAGAAACCATTTTGGGCCTGAGGGAGCAGCCTTCTGAGGGCCACATATGAAAGGTGAGTTGGGCCAGAGGCAAAAGTGGGCAGAGCAAGTGGAGCCAGTGTGGTGTAGTGGTTAAGAGCGGTAGACTCGTAATCTGGGGAACCGGGTTCGCGTCTCCGCTCCTCCACATGCAGCTGCTGGGCAACCTTGGGCCAGTCACACTTCTTTGAAGTCTCTCAGCCCCACTCACCTCACAGAGTGTTTGTTGTGGGGGAGGAAGGGAAAGGAGAATGTTAGCCTCTTTGAGACTCCTTCGGGTAGTGATAAAGTGGGATATCAAATCCAAACTCTTCTCTTCTTCAGAGCAATGGATGAGATTCTTACCTCCCTACAGTAGGCTGTATTCCAGCCACACAAAAGCCAGAGGTTTCTACACCATCTCTCCATCTTCTAACCAAGTAAGTTGGAAAGTGCACCGCAGTTCAATGCAACGGTTGAGTTCTGTGAAGTTCCTCTACATCCAAGATGACTGATTCAGACCAGTTTAACTCTCAAAGCTATCTCCCGAAGGAATGTGAAAAGTCATGCCAATGCCAATTAAAATTGGGAACACCAAAAGAGAGAGAGTGCTCATCCTATAGACAAGAGTGTAGTTCCCAGGGTCCCAAAGCCATGGCAGTTCTACTGATGGTTAATGCAGATGGGAGTCCAAATTAAAACCTGGCATAAGAACCTAAGAAAAGCTGCGCTGGATCAGACCAAGGACCCACCTAGTCCAGCATCCTGTTCTCACAGTGGCCACCCAGTTGCCTCTGGGAAACCAGAAACAGGATCCAGGTGCCACAGCAATCCTCCCCACTCGTGACTCACAGCAACAGGCATTCAGAGGCCTTACTTGCCATATGTCTGGGTTTACCTGGACATTTTGCCGATTCAGCAAAAACCTGCCCAGACGCTGTTTTGACAGCCCGATTCCCGGATGTGTCCGGGAAAACTGGATGTATGGCAGCCCTATCTTTTACAGCAGCTGGTCACTAAGCAGGGAGCCACTCTCAAGGGTTGGACCCCAGAGCTGCCTGCCACCGCTGCTGCTTCCTTCTAAGAAGTATTTTTTCTGAGAAACAATCCCTTACGCGTAGGTTGAATTGGGCCAGGCACGCAAGGACAGCAAGGTCAATGGGGAAAGGTGGCGGGTGGCTGCTCACAGCCTGATCTCCTTTCCAAGAGGCAGTCGCTGAAAGACGTCAGCAAGGCTGGAGCCTCCTTGCAGCCTCGGGGCTTATCTCCTTTGATGGATTTAGGGACTACTAGGTGACACGCTGCGAGAGAAGGACAAGGGCTCAGCAAGAGAGATTCAACAGGTGTCCTGGTGAAGAAATGCACGTCCTCACATAGGGTGTCAACCGGCCCCTTGTTAATGACATTTAGAACCAGGCAGCTGCATCAAAGACCACCGCCTTCTCTACAGTGCTCAGATTGGCAGAGGGGCCCCTCTTTGTAGTTCCACTGCCCCCAGAAGCTTGGGGGGGTGACCTGGAAGAGGGCATTGCCTATGGCAGGTCCTCAATTGGGGACCCCCCCCCAGAAGTGAAAATGGAACCTTCATTATACAGCTTCCAGTGAATGCTGAAGACACTTCTTTTTATCCTGGCTTCTGACACTTGAGATGTATATTTTTAGGACCACCTTGAGGCCACTTGAGGAAGGTGCCATCCCCTTGCCTCGCTGAAGCCTCCCTTATCTGGGGCTTTCAGCGGCACCCACAAATTAGCAATGATGGCGGGTCCTGGTGATATGTTTCTAGATCTCGTGGAGCTCTTGCAAGATCTCATGGAGTTCAAAAGATCTGGCAAGGTCTCACCAGAAGACAATACTGAGTCCATGCTTGCTTTGTGCTTTGGGCAGACAAGGTCTGGAGAATCTTTTTCATCCCAGGGGCCTTGTTCCATTCTAGGCAACCTTTTGAGGGCCACATGCATGTGGTGGCCGGGGCATGTGGTAGAGGCAAAAATTAGCAGAGCAACAAATGTAAACTTTACTTTTTGTACAATAGGTTGGCTTCTACACACCCTGTTGAGGTTCCCTACTCCTGCTCTAAACTTTTTTCAAATATGGAATCTGCCTCTAGCCCAAGCACGCATTTTGGGACCTACCTTCAGTCAAGCTGCAACTCACCAGTGAGTCCTGACTCAAGGAAGCCATATTTGGGGGACCGGATCCTTTATGCATGACCATCACTTAATGACTGCAAACCTGAGTGGCAACTGGGTTTCAAGTAAACCACAACAGATAACAATTCCAAAGAGGCTTTCCTTAGGTTCTTGCACCACCTCAGAAGCAAAGCTTTGCAATGGGGTTACTCTGCTGCCAGGAAAATCAATATTCGTGCATTTTAGGCTTCACTGGCCAATTTGCAAATATTTTCTTTTTTGTGTGCATAATTTAATTGCATCTCTTCATTGTCACAGAAAAGGGGAGCTGCCAGTGTCCTGTACAAGAGCTTCCCACTTTCCCATCACTTACTTGTGCCCAGAATTTATCTCCTGCAGCAAGACCTTTGTAGCTCAGCTGGGTAAGCAAGCCAGCTGATTTTCAACACGTTTCCATTTTCCATTTTTTAAAAACTCAAAAAGTCTAAAATCCTGGAATTAGGGATTGGGGAGAAATATGATTTGGTTGATATTTAAACATGAATGCATCAAATTCATACTTCCTGTCAAAATCTGAGAACCAAAACACAGTCATCTATGAAAATTAGCATTTATCTGAATTTTGCAAAGTAGTTAATCAATCATCAGTGTTTACAAAAATGTATATTTTGTGGGGAGGGGGATAAAAATGAACGTGCTAGTGAAAAGGAAGGACAAAAATATTACCAAAAAGTGCTTGCAAAAATGTGTATATCAGCCAAAACTGCAAACAAAAATGTGTTTGTTAAGAGAAATTCATACTAAAATTATGAAGAATTTTCAGGATGATTTTTCTTTAAAATTAAGATATTGCTGCAGAAATGTGGATAACTGAATTTAGGACTGGAAAAGTGAGAAATAGACAGAACTGAAATTGTCTGATCCTTCTATCGCTACCTGCAGTTTTAGATTGTGAAATGGAAAGGGAAAAGAAGCAGAGAAAAGTGATTTCTTACTGCAGTTGTGGGCTTGTGCTTTGGTTAGGAGGGACAAGCGCCGCAATAGTCAGTGGCCTTGGGTTGCAGCATGACTGAGAAACTAAGAGAACCAAACTGACAGATCCTTCCATTCTTACCTGCAATTTTAAGACTGTAAAATGGAGAGGGGAGAGAGAGAGAGAAGAATGATATCTTACTGCAACTGTGGGCTTGTGCTTTTGGATAGGAGGGACAAGCCCCGCTGCAGTCAGTGGCCTTGGGCTACAGCAAGGAGTTGTCGGTGGCGTCGGGGCGAGAGTTCCCACCAGAGACACATCAGAGGCAGGTCCATATCTCAGGTTCCGGCTGCTCCGGGAGCGCTGATGGAGGGAGAAAGCTCTGGACGCCAAGGTGGGTTCCGCTGCCGTCTGGTTCCTCGGGAGCATGAAAGCTGTGAGCTTCTTCCTGGCTCCTTCAAACTCATGCTTCACATTGTTAAATAGAAACATAGATTGCCTCTGCTTGACTAGAGGAGGCTTTTGGCTGATGTTCTCCGAAGGGGTGGCCAACAGCACCGGGGAGGTCTTTGGTCTACATTGGGGAAGACTCAGGAAACGAGGCAAAGTGCCGGGAACACACTTGGAGTCAGAGAAGGGCTTTTCTTCACCGTCGCTTTCGACAGAGGAAGACAAGGGAGACTCCTCACCTTCGGAGCACCCTTGCTCTTCCAAGCACCCATCCTTGCTCAGCTTCTTAGCCAGCCTGCTCTTGTTCACAGTGCAGCTGAACTTCTCCGCCGCAGCACACAGGTTGGCACACCGTCGAATGGGTACTGCAGCCGTCACTTTGCGACCTGCTGCCTCTGGGAAGCTTTCTTTCGAGTCCAGCAGCAGCAGCCAGCAAGGCGGAGCCGTTGGGACGACGTCAGTGGTCACTTCGTACCAGGGGATGTCTTGCCGAGAGGCGGAGTCTACCCAATACAGCACCTTCTTCTCCAGCGAGAAATCGTGCTGTGGAAACAGAAGAAGGTGAGTCAGCATCTTCTTAGCCTTGGGCTGTAGCTGGAGTAACCAAATGAGCGAAAGTTGTGAGGCAGGACTTGAGAGCTAAATCACAAACCAGATGAGGTCACCTGAACCCAACAGGACCACCCACTCCCAAGATCTGACTTTGCTAAGAACTTCAAAAAGAACTCTGCTGGGTCAAATCAAAGCCCCTCTAGTCCAGGGATGCAGAACTTGTGGCCCACCAAATGTTCCTGGACTCCATCTCACATCACCCCAGTCATCATGGCCCAATGGTCAAGGATGATGGGAGCTGTGGTCCAGCAATATTTGAAAGGCCACAGGCTCCCCATCCCTGACCCAGTCCAACATTTTATTTTCAACAATGGCTAGCCGGAGGTTTAAGAGCCTTACAGGAAGGCCATGGAGGAACTATAGTCAAATGAAATAGTGAGCAGGGTCTAAATAACCAGCAAGGGAAGGAGAATAAATAAATGATTGTAATCTAAGTCATAATACAATAGAAAATCAATGTAGATACTGTAAAGGAATACAACAGGAACATCACAGATGTAAGGGTGGAAAGTCAAAGTGTAAGAAATTATTATACCGAAAGTGAACTGAATAATGTCAAATTTTGTGTAAAAAACTAATAAAAATTCATATATATTAAAAAAGGAAGGCCAAGGAAGCAACATCTGTACTTTTTCAGCACCTTCTAAGGAAAACATTTTTGTTTGGGCAACTGTCCAGATATGTAGAATGTTGACATGTATTTTAATCTGTTTTTTAAATTCCTCCTTGATTTTAATTATTTTTTCAATGTTTTAGAGAATTGTTTTTAGCTGTTTCTTACTGATTAGTTCATTGTTTTATTCTTTTTGTAAACTGCTTTGAGGTTGTTTTTTTTTGGTTGTTGTTTTTTACAGTCAAGTGGCACATAAATTTTGTGAAATAAATAAATAAAACAAGAATGCGTGCAGCCTTAGGACGAAAGTTGTTTCTCAACATATTTGTGTGTTTCAAAATATGACTTGTGTGGAGTGAAAGCAGACGTGTGTCAAGGTGGTTTCTTAGAACTCTTTCATCCTCTCCTCAAAACCCTGAATATAATAAGCTGAAGATCCACCAAGACGATTCCCCAAAACACAAATCTTCCAGAGCACAATGATGCTCCCTGCTGGCAGGAATAAACTGGACACAGGGCTTGATAGGCGGCGGAGGAAGATTGCTTTAGCTTTTCAAACCCAAGTTTCCAGGCGACTAAAAGGTCATCTCCATACAATGTTTAAAAACCCCTGGCAATATTTGTAACCTAGGAGATATTGTAAACATTGCACTCTGGGTCTATGACTGTTATAGACTGTTATGAAAATACACTTCAAAAAAGCCTGTGGAAAGTTAATTTGTCACGGATTTGATTTGCATATATTGCAAAGGAGCAGGAGAGATGTGCTTCACTGACACTCAATAGGCAATTTCTTTTTTTCCAGCTAGCTAATGTACTCCAAGGACTAATTCAGATGTAACACTGAACCATGACTTGGTGTTCTAAGAACAAACCTTTAATGGCATTGCCAGGGCTGGATTTAGGTTTGATGATGCCCTAAGCTACTGAAGGTAATGGGGTGCTTTTTATGTCCAGCTGTCTTTTGTCAACAACAAATTGTCGCTGTTTTTTGTGTTGAATATGTGCTATATAGTAATTTATGGACCTAATAGGTATCTAAAGCCATCTGCCCGTGTTGCCATGCAACCAGTCCATGCAGAATGCAGGCATCCTATATATAGAAATGAGCAAACCAGTGATATTTTAGGGAGCAGGCTAGCAGGTGGGGCCCATTACTAACATTGTAGGAGCCTACACAACACAAAACACTATTGCTGTATGTAGGTTTTATTTTATTTGTTTTTTATCTATATTTCAGAAATATAGGTACAGAAAAAGCCTGTACCTCCAGGCTTTTTTCCTTTTTTTGGGGGGGGACCCCCAAGAGAGTGGGGCCCTAAGCTATAGCTTGTTTAGCTTATATGTAAATCCGGCACTGGGCCTCCACTGTTCCTCCACTGTTGGAGTTAGGGTGCCCTGCATACCAGCTGCTGGAAATCACAAGTGCAGAGGCATTGCTGTGAGAACAGAGTGCTGGACTTGATGGGTCCCCCTGGGCCTGATCCAGCAGCCAGCCTCTTCTTATAATGTTAAAGGGAGTTGCTGGACACTCCTTCCTCCACCTCCTCCCCCCACCTTGATTTGAGGCAGCCCATCATTTGTGGCTTTGTCCAAACTATGGCTTGTGTTTGCCCTGCAAATGACAAACTGGAAACCAGCCCCAAACTGTGAGTCCTAATCCTGGTTGGATTAGGGCAGGGGTAAGCCCCGTGTTCATCAGGTTTGGGCAAAAAGGTGAATCATACTTTGCTTCAGAGCAGCAAAAAGTGAGGAAACAGTAATAAGAGGGGAACAGTAATAAGGAGGAATGTGCTGCTCAGAAGGTCCTTGAATGCTTATTATTGTGGTGTGATTCTGGCATTATAAGAGCCTATAAAGCTGCCTTTTAACAGCTTGGACTATCAATCCATTGAGCTGCGTATTATGAACATTTTCTAGCAGCAACTCTCCAGGAGTCCTCAAACAGGAGTCCCTCCCAGACATACCTGGAAACGCTGGAGATGGAACTGGACATCCCTGAACTATGGTGTCAAGTTAAAGGCTTTCAACATCAGCAAAATGTTCCTCCCAGGGGTAGGAATGTACATATAAAAAGCCTGTGGAGCCTAGGTGTTATTCTAATTCAATTTCTAGACCTTAAGAATACTAAACTAGAAAATGGAAATGGCTAAAGAGTCAGTAACATGAAAGAATAAACTTTTCCCCAAAAAACAAAACATAAAAAAATCCCCTTTAATATCCACATTTGGAAGAGATTTATTTATTTACCATTGCACACATCAGGACCTCCGTGCAATCAGGCATCTCAAACTCAGCCGCTGATACAAAGTTTGCCTCTTCTGTGGAGTCGTCTGCAACGCTTATGGTCACTCTGAAAGGTACACCTTGCAGGCAATTCATGGCTCCCCTTGTTACCTTACACTCTAGTAAAAAAAATAAGAAGATTGATTGGACTTAGTTACTCCTTCTGCTTCAGCTCCTCCTCAGTGCCTGGGGCTGATTACAGAAGTGGGGAACCTCCAGCTCACAGGCCTAAGCCCAACATGTGTCCATTTGGCTAGTGAGACCATTGCTTCCAAGCCACACATATAGGATGTCAGGTCAGGTGTGAGGCAGGTAAAGACATGGCTCCAAAGAAAGAATCAGCCCCAATGGAATCATCTGCACTGGGGAGTCCTGCATCAGGAACATCCTCCTGCAGCCAATGAGAAACAGTGTTTTGCAAGGTTGACTATGCAAGCACCAATGGTCAGCTGATCAGAGGTGCTTACAAAGCCCTGTGCTTTTGATTTCAAACCATGGGGGCAAAGGAAAATAGGTCATTGTGACGTCAGGGGGTTGGCGAGTGTCTGAACTGTCGCACTTCAGATTGCAGGTCACGGTTTACATGATGGAAGGCTCCTCCACAGCAAATAAAATAAAATGAGATCCCTGCAATAAGAAAACTAGGATGTTGGGGGGAAAGTGCAAGACTACCCTTTTACCTAACAGGCTACTTTTCAACACGGAAGGAACACATTTCAGTATAGAGCATTTCATTATGAGTGTTCATCCGCAGTTTGAATCAGCATAGCCCCACTGAGGGTGAGGTCAGTTTGTTCCTATTTAACTCACTTTCTTATTTATCTAAAATGTTATGTCCTTCCCTTTGCAACAACAACTTCTTACTTTAATAAATGGTGGTTTGTGCGAGTGGCCCCAAGGTAAAAGGAAGTAGAGCGGGCAATATTATTGCTTTTTTATATCAAAAGCCTTTATGGCAGAAGCTGTAAACTTTTTCCCACTGAGTGCTGTGTTATGTTAGATACCATATACTCTGCGGGGCGGGGCAGGGAGACACAAGCTGGAAGCAGGTGAGGCAAGAGCAGCCAGCCTCCCACTCTCAAGATCCTCACCATCTCATCTCAACACCCTTTAAAAGGACTAATGCCTTTTGAAAGCCAGATCTGCAGCTTCAAAAGCCCCTTCTTGCTCTCTGGGACACATTTTTAAAACTGCACTATGTCCACCTCTCACGAAGAACAGCTCAAGATTGAATGGCAGCATAAAATAGACAAACTCGTCTCCTGCTTGATAGGATTGGCTTTGCGTAGGCAGCAGGAAGCTTGGATTTTGCAGAACTCCTCATCAGCCAGTGTCGGCAACTTCTGATCAACAACCTACGAAATTTAGAAGCCTGTGTACACCCAATAAACAATGTTATTTTACCCACTTTGCACCTTCCATTTCTTAACTGATCCTGGCGAAGATTTGTTAGCAATCTCCTTTGCCTCCTCCTAAGTACTATGTGCTCCTTCAAAAGAGTGAAGCTCCTCTGTGGACTATTTTTTTTTTTAAATGCCACTCAGCTATAAATTGGTGTTTCTAATCTCAACAGGATTTATTGCTGGGTGGCTAATGCAAAGTCTGTGTCTCCTGGTGCTGGAGTGGAGAAGCCAGATGGGCGCTTCCTAGCTCTGCCATGCTGCACATGTCTTTTTGCTAATACATTCCACATGCAGCATATCTGGAAGCCAATCCAGGGCTCAGACCATCTGCTGAGATAATGTGAATGACGCTTTTCACATAAGCCACAACGTACACAAATGTCACAGAGGGAGGTGGGCGGGGGGAAGAAGCAAGGAGTAAACGCGATCAATGACGAGAATGATTTATCGTTCCGATTTCCTCTGCTGGCTCTGTGACTTATTGCTAGTTTTAGCTACATGTTTT